AGAAAAAACTGTAAGTGGCACTGTGGCTCAAGTAGTAAAGTGCTAGCTTGAGCAAAAAGGAGCTCAGGGACAGTGCCCAGGCACAGTTTAAGCCTCAGGACCAATAAAAAGTGCTAGAGGCATGGCTTAACCAGTAAAGTGCCTGCCTAAGCAAGCATAAAGCCCTGACTTCAAACTCCAGTACTGCAAATTAATAAACAAAAGGCTTTAAACTATAGGTTTGTCATAAAAGCTTAGAATGTTTGATTCTAAAGGGTATATAGTAAGTATCTAGTCACTCAGTAGTTCATAAAAGGGACAACTCTGACTCTGAGTTTGAGGCCTAAAAAAAACCCAAAACCAACTAGGGATATTGTCACAACAAAGAATTGTCAGGTCTGGTACACCAATAGTGCAGAGGCTGAGAGATTGTAACTAGATTACAGTTCAACAAGTAAGAAAAAGGCCTAAGAACTGAGAATACATCAAGAATCTAATCTATATCCTACAAAATTCAGAGTGAGGGAAGGTATAAGTTGGGGAAGGATGAGTGAGAATGCTGAAAGGGGTGACATTGATCTCAAGATATATTATATTCAAGGGCTGGGAAGGTGGCTCAGTGGTAGAGGGCTTGCCTTGCATGCATGAGGCCCTGGGTTCAATTGCTCAGCACCACATAATCAAAAAAGAAAAAAACCAGAAGTGGCACTGTGGCTCAAGTAGTAGAGTGCTAGCCTTGAGCTGAAGAGCTGAGGGACAGCACCTAAGCCCCAGAATTCAGGCCCCATGACCAGACCAAAAAAAAAAAAAAAAGATATATTAAATTCATAAACTACTTGGTTAAATGGCAACTCCACTGTACAACTAAAGACTACACACACAGAGTTAAGGAACTTCTACAAGATCAAATGAAAGTTAATTATAGAATCAGAACAGAAAGTTACCTATTCTGACTCCTAGTCCATACTATTTCCTATACAGTGAGAGGAAGAAATTGTGGATGGAGAGACTTCCTTGATCTCTATTAATGTAACTAAAACATCTCCAAAAATACTAATTCCTATAAAATCTTTAAGACTCAATTTCATTCAATACATTTTTTTGTTTCCAACTGCTTAGAAGCAATGAAATGGAAGAACACAGACCAAAGAAAAATCTGAGAAAAAATAAATGCTCTACCAGATATCAAGGTTATATAATGCAACAAGGTCAACTAAAAGAATTCCACAAAGAAAATTCTTTCAAGTTAAATACAATGTCTGCTCCACAGCTATTAGGCAGACTTCATCTTTTATTCCTGGAAAGGGAAACAAGTGGCTTTATACTAGAATGTAACATTTTGTTCTGGGATGGAAACCAAACTCAGTTTCAAACATTTCCCATCTGGAACTGGGCACTGTATTTAAAGTCTGCTTCAGCATAGAGGTAAAGTCTTGCTTATCTCTTGAGGGCAATTTATGTCATTCCTGGTAGGACTATGTTTCTTTCAGGCACTACAGGGTAATTTTATAGGTTGGGGGTTGTAATAGCCATTTCACTGACTATCCAGGTGATTTAGGATGAGGCACCGGGTTTGACCTGGGGCTGAATTCACCATTGTGGACACTTTAGCTTTCCCTATAATCTGTTCCTTTGGCTAACTCTGATGTTTATCCTTTCCCCGTGCAAGCCATATTTATGAGTCTAGTAGCCTTCTGTGAGTTCTTTCTAGAGAATTATCTCATGTGAGTATCACTTGAACTTATAAATGGTATCTGAAATGAGAATGGTCTTCACTTTGAGGGAGTGTGCCCTCCATTATAGTTTGGCTGATTCTAAGGAAGAATATAGATTTGCTATTTCCTAGTGTAACTGTGGACAATTCTAGATTCTTCCCTGTATAATCACCTCCCCAATCCACTAAGAATGTACCCTGAGAGTCTCTTCCAACCAACAGAAAATGACAAGGGTAACAGCATACACATGATAGGTGTAAGTTGACAGTAAGAAGATTATGACCCATCTTGCTCAAAGATGACCCCTTTCTCTGGCTTTGAAGCAAGCTACCCTATAAAGGAAGTCACATTGCAAGGAACTGAGGGAAGCATTCAGCGAACAGACAGTAAAAAACAAACCACATATTGCAAAGATCCAACACTATCAATAACCACACAGGTTCTACTCAATCCCAGTATAACTGTGGACAAAACCAACAATCGAAACAATCCTAAATTAGAGAATGTCATAATTAAATAATCCACATTCAAGCAAGAACTAGAGTGTTCAAGACAGCATGTGGTGCATGCCTATAATCTCCGTACTTGGGAGGCTGAGGCAGTATGATTTTTATTCAAAGTCAGCCTGGGCTATATGAGATCCTCCTCTACAGGGGGAGAGGAGGAGAAAAAAGAACAAGAAAAAGGACAAGAAAGAAATATTGAACATTCAAGTCTTAATTTGTCTAAACTTTGATTAGAAAGGTTCAAAACCCTAATTTTGACTTGAAAAACAATTGGTGCTCTTTTGTTTTGTGCTAGTCCTGGGGCTTGAACTCAGGGACTGGGCACTGTCCCTGAGCTTTCATGCTCAAGGCTAACACTCTTCCACTTGAACCACAGCTCCACTTCTGGCTTTTTGGGGGTTAACTGGAGGTAAGAGTATCATGACTTTTCTGCCCAGGTGAGCCTTGAATCATGATCCTCAAATCTCTACTTCCTAGGTACCTAGGATTTCAAGCATGAGCTTTGGTGTTCATTTTAAATTAAATTACTTCTTAAACTTTATTTTAGAGAAGTAAAAACTTTGATAAAAAAGCAATTGAAGAATAAAAATGTGATTTTTTAAATTTGAGACTGTTTTACTAAGGTAGCCCAGCCTGGCCTTGAAATTGTTTTCCTTATTCAAACTCCCAAGGCTTATGACTAGCACAAGTAAATAATTTATTAAAAGTAAATCTTTAAAAATATCTATAAAGTACTAACTTTAATGTTTAAAATTCAAACTGAAAATTTTTATAACAGTTGCAAAATTATCTTTGTTTTGGTTTTTATTTTGGGTTCGGTTGTGGGCCTGAACTCTGAGCCTGGGTGCTGCCCCTCAGCTCAAGGCTAGCGCTCTACCACTTGAGCCACAGCACCACTTCCGGCTTGTTTTTTTGCTTATGGGTGCTGAGGAATCGAACCCAGGGCCTCACACATGCAAGGCAAGCGCTCTACTACTGAGCTACCTTCCCAGCCCCGCAAAATTATCTTTTTACTGCCAATTGCAATATTATAAATAAAAGTCTTCTTTTGTGTGTGCTGGTACTAGGACTTGAATTCAGGGTATCATGTTCTTGCTTGGCATTTTTTGCCCTAGGATGGCACTCTTCCACTTCCACATCTCCACTTCCCAAACTTATTTTTGTAAGCTATTTCTTATACTTTAGTTTTAAAGGTAATGAAAATCAAGAGGTTATAAGATGAAACCCTAAAATAATTCATACTAAAACTTTTATATTGGAAATTTCTGTCTACATGTTAATTACACTGTTAGGACAAAATCTTTAGTCCTCATAAAATTAAGAGCTTTGGTTTGGTGCTGTATTTCATTCAAAAATGAATGCTTTGAAGGTTTTTCCAGGATGTTTTATATCCTGCAAAAGCACCAAAGTGAAAGCATTATAACGATGTCATTTTCATAAACAAATCTCTAAAAGATTAATGCTTATGAATAAGGTGAAAAGGACAGGGTATTTTAATCGGCGAGGCAGCTGGAGTGCAGTGGTTTCAAACCTCTTCAGCACAGTTCTCCAGTACAACACCCTGTGTTTCACCCTAGAGAAGGAATGTTGGCAAAGAACTCTACCACAAGGAAAGTGCTCTTAAAGCTGTTGGGCCCTGAAATTTTATTCAGTAGTTTGAAAGAAATCCTTAACTTTCCTCATTCATCCTCCCACTTGGAGCTAATATACGGGCATGAACACCTAATGAAGAAAAAACCTTCAAAACACCTTCAACGGTAGGCTCATTTTCCACACTATTTTCAATAGTCTTTGTTAAAGTGTGACAATTCTAGAAGTCTTGCTTTTTAAAAGTAAAGCCTTCTGAGACCTTGAACAATTAAATTTTAACAAGTACTTTCAGGTATCATTTGTACCTTTAACATTGATGCAGGTAAAAATAAAATACAAGCTGCCAAAGTCACAAGTCCACTTTCTCCTTAAAATTTTGACATCTGGATTTCTGATAAATTGGCATCTATAACGCAGCACAAGCAATTCTGGGTGATTCTGTTTGAAGTATAGAAAAAGGGTGAAATGTGTCCATATCTCAGATAAAATGCACTAGTGAGCCTAAGAGAATTATTTCCTGTACATTTCTCCTTTAAAGTTCAAAATTTCCTTTAGTTTGCAATATTATTTTTTACATAGTTTAAAAGAGCAAGACTTAACCAAAAGTAGTGGTAACCTGTTACATTTTTTTTAAAAAACTAGAAAATTAGGGGGGAGAACTGATTTGTTGAATGGTAACTCCTTTGTACAACTCCTTCTAGATAATAAAAATATAACTAAAAATAGAACATTAAACATGACTTTTCCTATATTTCACCTAAAAGTTAAGTGTTAGTGACTATTTTTCATGATGTTTAACTTAAGGTTCAAGTTATAAAGTTATAAAACTTCTCCTAGAACTTGCTTTTTCACACCAACACAAATCAAGAAGTTTTTATAAAGCAGTAAAGTTGAAATATGATATTTTTAACTCACATGAGACAGGATCTTCATTTTAACTATTTATACTACAGGTATTCTAAGATTTCAATTACATATTAGTACTTATACACAGGCACTTAACTATTAAGAAACTCAAATTATTAACATAGCTTGTATTTTTTATTAGATAAAAAAACTTTCTGAACAATTTTTGGTAGGTTCACTGATACATGAAAACTGATGTTATCTAATTAAAGATCACAAAGGGTTAAATACTTGTTCCCTGGCTCCTAGTACGTACAGTGTGCCAAAACGTCCTCAAAGGTTTTAAATATTGCATCCATGGTCTGAATTTTTATTTCCAAGGAGAAGAGTTTTGTCCCATAGTCAGCAGGCCATTGGTTTAGTAACTTTCAGTCAGCTTGATTTCTGTGGAAATGAAGACTATGCATTCGACACTTTTCCTGTTACTTTTCCTGCCTTTGACAGAACCAGCACCACAAGCTCAGCAGGACGCACCCTCTACCTCTGAGTATGGGACAGATCATTTTGAAGAAAATATATTTAGTCAAGATTATGGAGATAAATACCTGGATGAAAAAAGAATTAAGGTACTTTATTTCTACTTTAAGTTTACCTTCTAAAATTGTACCCATTTAAATGTATGTTTTTAACTTTTCCTGATTGTATTTGATAAGGTAAGGAGAAAAGATAAGCAATTTAATACTGAAAGTAACTCATAATAATTATCCTTAAGATTATACTTTTCAAGCATGCATGTCTCCTAAATTAACAAAGAGTACCTATGGTAACCAAAGAGCTACAGTAACCAAAAATAAAACAAGAGAAACTAGGTTAGATTCCTTGATGAATTGCAATTCATATGTTAACTGTTATAGAAATTTCTGTAGTTGCATATTGATACTGTTTCAAATATAAATCAGGAGAAATTAAGATAAATTATCTGTTACAGGGTTTAGTTTATTTTAGAAAAATATGGCTCAAAGAAATAAATACAAGAGTAGTAGCTATGCCAAATACCCACAGTACCAGAAATTAAAACTGCTTAATATTAGACATCCTTTTAAATCAGTTTTAACACTTTCAATGCTTTACCAATTTGCAACAAGGATCTGTAACTGTCAGTGAGTTAACACCCTGTAAGGATGTAAGGATGACTTTTATGCAACAGGGTTCACATCCCATCACTATGAACAAAGTAATTACTTGTGGTTTCCTTGGCCAAAGAAATGAATTCTGGTTAGGAAAAAGTTAACATAGCACAAAACTATCTGTGGCTCACTGTATGTCATACAGACACACATTCCACTAAAAAATGAGAAGTGTAGCCAAATATTTAACAATATTCATTGTTTCAAAAGTTCTTCTCCATTACAGTGAAGATTTTTAAGATCACGAGACACTATGTTGGAAATGAACTTTACAAGTTGGGGAGAGGGAATCCGAGAGGAGGGAAAAGGGGAGAAAAACAATGTACTCATTACCTTATTTACTCATTACCTTATATATGTAACTCTAATCCCTCTGTATCACCTTGACAATAAAATTAAATTTAAAAAAAGATTTTTAAGATGAACTAGTTAAAATTACTTCTTTTCTTAGCACACAATGAACCTATGTTAACAGCAGTTTTTATTTTGTTCCAATAGAGGAAGTTAATATGCTGGATTATAAACTGAACACAACAAGAAAGACAGGCCACAGAATCACAAAAACAAATAATAAAAGAACAATTCTATTACAAAATAAGTGATTATCTCACTTGGATGATTTGACTGTATTGATCAATTACAAGAACACTTTCAAAATTCTCTGATACTTAAAAACTTAGACATAACTTTCTCTGCTTCTTACATTTATAGGACTTTAGCAGTTTTTCTATGTTAATATAAATGTATAGACTGATATTTGTGTAATAGAGAATTCAATGGGACAATGAGTGGGAAGGATGGTCAGCCTGCATTCAGATGGGCAAAGGCTACAGACAAGAGCAAGGTAGAGCAAGCTTACAAAGGATAAAAAGAACACTACTGCATGTAATAAGCTAAAGTCTAATGGAAGAAAATACACTGAAAACAGGAGAGAGGATAAATGATAAGGATGCCAATTCTCCAGAGTTAGAAGCCTAAACACTAGTGACCTGAGGGGTACCCTGTGTATTGTATATACATTTATCCGAATTAGGGAGGGGGAACAACAAAATGGTAGACAAAGGACAAAGGAGGAACCAATGCAACAGTGATACAAGAAAATATGTTGAAAATGAACTTTACAACTTGGCGGGGGAGGGGGTGGTTAGTGGGGGAGAGCAAGTAGGAGAAAAACCAGCAAGGGGGTAACAGTGTTGGACAAGAAATGTACTCAATACCTTACGTATGTAACTGTAACCTCTCTGTACATCATCTTGACAACAAAATAAAATATTTTTAAAAGGCAGGGGCTGGGGGGAATGTGGGAAGGGGCTCCATATTGGATGTGGAATCACATACTTGAAATCCCAGCTACACAGGAGATCGATAGAAGGCTCATGGTTTGAGGCCTGCTCAGATTAAAAGAAAAACTTTTTAAAGCTAGGCATGGTGTAAGCTGAGCCTACCCAGGAGCTGAAGGCAGGATTGTAGTTGAAAGCTCTTGGGCAAAAGTCCAAGACCCTATCTGAAAAATAAAGCAAAAGGACTGGGGGCATTGCTCAAATGGTAGAGTGCTTCCTTAGCAAGTGGGAGGTCCTGAATTCAACCCCCTAGTACCACCCAAAAGAACAAACAAAACAAAACCCTCCGTGGAGGAATGTAGGTAACTAAAATGTCACCTCAGGACGAAACAGAGCTTTCTGAGTCATTTACCATGGAACACACTAAAGTCCTAGAGTTCCCTATAGGGGAATTAATTCACACCAGAATCACATGAAAGTTTCACCTCAGAAAACTGTATTGCCATTCTGATAATTCTTTTTTTTTTTTCAGTTGTGGGGCATGAACTCTGGGCCTGGGCACTGTCCCTCAGCTCTTCAGCTCAAGGCAAGCGCTCTACCACTTGAACCACAGAGCCACTTCCCCATTCTGATAATTCTTTACTAACTCCCATTTGGAATTTCAGCATGTTCAATAGTTACCAAGTACACCACATACACACACATAAATACATACATACATACATACACACACACAAACACACAATTGCTATTTTACTCAGGGAGATCACAGTCTCGAATAAAATCATACTTACACTGAAATAATGTAGAACATCCTAATGGAGCACAAAAGAAATGCTACCAAGCGGCTGGGAAGGTTGCTCAGTGGTAGAGCGCTTGCCTTGCATGTGTGAGGCCCTGGGTTCGATTCCTCAGCACCACATAAGCAAAAAGAAAAAAGCCGGAAGTGGTGCTGTGGCTCAAGTGGTAGAGTGC